TGCTTTTCACCTTTTTTTTTTCTTCATGTCTATTTTTTTACTTTTTTTTTTTTTTTGCACTTAAACTACTTCATACTCCCTAAGATGGTTTCTTTTTTTTCTTTTTCTTTTTTTTATCTACTGCAATCCTTCAGCTAAATAATAACAGACCCTAAACTTCATCTAAAAAATCAGCAAATAATTATTTAGGATCATAGGAAAACAAATTAATGTGGAAAAACAAGTGAAATCATGTTGGCGGCAAGGTTAAAGATCAATTGCAGATGAACCAAGAAAGAAACAAGAAAAAGGGCAATCAAGCAATTCACAAAAGAGAGGAAGAAAGAACAAAACATAACAAAAGAAAACGAAGAAAGAGAAAAAAAGGAAAATTATAAACAATGCACACCTGAAGAAGAGGAAAAATCAAGACTTTATTCTCTTGAAGTCCAAATACAAGTTTCTGTGTTTCCCCTTTCCCTCTCTCTCACAACTCCCGGATCTCCCTTCCTCCAATTTACTCCTCCCCCTTTTCAAAGCCAAAGGCCCCCCCTTTTTATAGACAAAAGGAAAACCCAATCCTAATGTGCTTCTAATACTCAAATCCCAACCCCTAAGATAACAACTCAACCCCATTTGGAGTGGGATTTCTTAGTTTTTCCCGCATCTACCCATTTTCTAGTCTAGATTCATACCTTCTATGCTTAGAACTCCCTTCTTTGAATCAATTTCGAACTCTTCTTCTACGCCTCTTGTTGTTGACTTTCAATCTCTGTAAATTTCTTCAAAACTTGAGTAGATTTAGGGATAAGCCAAGAAAATTTTTGTGATTTTTCTGTTTTGAGAGGGGCTGGTGATAGAGCAAAGAAAGAAATGGGTTTGGGTGGCTAGGGTTTTCAACCTTTATTTCAGCTTACAATCAAAACGATGTCGTTTTGCTAGTTTCTCCTCTCAACCCTTCAAGCTTCACACTTTTTGCAAAAAATGGTCTGTGAGCTTTTACTTTTATCACTTAGCCCTAATTAAAATTGGGTTATGATAGTTGCCCCCTATTTACTTTTCTTTTGTAAAAGGAAAAGTAAAGAATAAAAGAATAACCCAATTTTAAGCTTTGAAAACAATGTATAAGTGAAAGTTGCAGTCTTCATCTTACCTTTTGCAAGATGCAATCTTCATCTCCTCTTTTTCCTGAAATGCAGTCTTCATCTAGGATGTGACTTCTAAGATGCGGTCTTCATCTTATCCTTTGTGAGATGCGGTCTTCAACTCTCCTTCTTCCTCAGATGTGGTCTTCATCTAGGATGTGACTTCTAAGATGCGGTCTTCATCTTATCCTTTGCGAGATGTGGTCTTCATCTCTCCTTCTTCCTCAGATGCGGTCTTCATCTAGGATGTGACTTCTAAGATGCAGTCTTCATCTTGTCCTTTGTGAGATGTGGTCTTCATCTACAATGTGACTTCTAAGATGCGGTCTTCATCTCTCCTTCTTCCTTAGATGCAATCTTCATCTAGGATCTTACTTCTAAAATGTGGTCTTCATCTCCCCTTCTTCCTTAGATGTGGTCTTCATCTTTCTTTCTTCCTCAGATGTGGTCTTCATCTAGGATGTGACTTCTAAGATGCGATATTCATCTTATCCTTTGTGAGATGTGGTCTTCATCTTTCTTTCTTCCTCAAATGCGGTCTTCATCTAGGATGTGACTTCTAAGATGCAGTCTTCATCTTATCCTTTATGAGATGTGGTCTTCATCTCTCCTTCTTCCTCAAATGCGGTCTTCATCTAAGATATGACTTCTAAGATGCGGTATTCATCTTATCCTTTGCGAGATGTGGTCTTCATCTCTCCTTCTTCCTTAGATGCGGTCTTCATCTAGGGTGTGACTTCTAAAATGCGGTCTTCATCTTATCCTTTGCAAGATGTGGTCTTCATCTCTCTTTCTTCCTCAGATGCGGTCTTCATCTTATCTTTTGCAAGATGTGGTCTTCATCTCTCCTTTTGCGAGATGCGGTCTTCATCTCTCCTTTTTCCTTAGATGTAGTCTTCATCTAAGATGTGATTTCTAAGATGCGGTCTTCATCTCTCCTTCTTCCTTAGATGTGGTCTTCATCTAGGATGTGATTTCTAAGATGCGTCTTCATCTTATCCTTTGCGAGATGCGATCTTCATCTCTCTTTCTTCCTCAAATGCGATCTTCATCTAAGATGTGAGTTCTAAGATGCGGTCTTCATCTAGGATGTGACTTTCAAGATGTGGTCTTCATCTTATCTTTTGCGAGATGCGGTCTTCATCTCTCCTTTTTCCTCAAATGCGGTCTTCATCTAGGATGTGACTTTTAAGATACGGTCTTCATCTTATCATTTGTGAGATGTGGTCTTCATCTAGGATGTGACTTCAAGATGTGGTCTTCATCTTACCATTTGTGAGATGCGGTCTTCATCTCTTCTTCTTCCTGAGATGTGGTTTTCATCTAGGAGGTGATTTACTAAGAGGCAGCTACGTCTCTCTTTTTTCTTTTCTTTCTTTCTTCATTTTTTTTTTTTTTTTGAGATGAATGGATCTCTTCTTCTTTGACAAGGATCTTGAATCAAATTAGAATTTCTTCAAACCTCAAATAATTTGTGCCTCTTACCAATGTTCGATTCAATCTTGAACTTTCATCAATATCATGACTTTGAACCTTATAGGCTCAAGAGATTCAAATGTCCTTCAGTGTCCTTTTGAATCGTTAGTAATCTTTTCCCTCTCTGATGATGCTTTAAATTTTATGAACATGTTTGATTCACCCATACTATCATCAAGAATTCAATGTATCTACTTGTTTTTTTTTTTTTTAATGTCAAATCTTACACGCAAAAAATGATGATTTTTTAACCTTTCAAAGATGTTGAAATCAATGTCAAATGTAGTGATGTTTAAAACAATCATGGGTAAGATTAACAAAAAATCTTATGAAGCACAATGGATTATATGAACAAATAATATGATTTAACTTCCATGAGTAACAACTGCCAATTTGACCTAGAATACAATTAAGATGCCCCTTTCATACAATTTTTTTTTTTTTTCAAAAGCAACTCCCAAAACACAAACTTCTTTTCTCACTTTTTGCTTTTGAATCTTCCTTTTCTTTTTCTTTTTTTTTTTTTGTTCAAAAAAAAATTCATCCCATTTTCATAGATGAGCAAATTCCTCAAGAATAGCTTTGTAAGAATTTCAAATAGTGAAAATGCCAATGAGAATTACCAAGTGGAATTTTGAGTTTTTCAAAAATCGAGATTTTGGCTAGAGCAATGAAATTTTCCTTCCCATGAAATCTCAACTTGTTTGCCACATTTATTTCTATTCACCTTCCTTCCTTATTTCTTCTTCTTCTTCTCTTCTTTTTTTTTTTTTTTTTTTTTTTTTGTTTTGAGAAATATCACACTCAAATTCAATAGCTTTCAAATTCTCTGATAAGGGCTTTGAATAAGCTTGTATCATGGTCTAAGGCTTGGCTAATTAGAAAGAAAAGGCATATAAGCTCAATGATAAAATCCCTTCTGCCCCCCCTAATTTCACACTTCACACCCCAGGTTCTTGAGGCAGGTACATTCAAAGAAATAATCATCCTGGCTTTTCTATTATGATGATTGCCTTTTCTTTTGGCTCAAAGTGGGCAAATAAGGTCGACTTTAGTGTGTGGGAAATAGAAACAAGGCCTTTCGTCATTGAACCTAAAAGTTCTTTAATTTGAGTATGATTTGCTATCCCTAGTTTGGTGATTGCTATCATCAAATTGTCTACAAATATCCAACCCTTAAAAGGGATTTTTATAGATTGTTATAGGGCTTAGGTATGGCTACTAAAAGAATAGTCAATATAAGCTCGAAGTACCCAATTTGCCCCCCAATTGCATACCATGTCTTAGAGAAAACTTTCTTCTCCTTTATTGGCCCTTTTATCCCCATTTTCTTCTTCTTCTTCTTCTTCTTCTTCTT